AAGCCGCCGAAACGCGGACGAAATAAAGGAGACGAAAAAAGAAAATCACGCGATGCCCCCAACCTCTCCCGCAAGGAAAGCACCCTCGGGGCCAGTCCACCGATTCCGGCAGCATCCCTCCGTGCTGGATCCACGATGGACCGTCTCTCGCGTGGGGGGCCGCGACCGCGCCGTCTGATTGGCCCGCGCGATCTTTCGCGTGCGTGCAAGCGAGAGCAATGCGTCGTTCGTCGAACGGAGATGCATAGAGAGGGGGGTACCACGCATCGGCGTCTCCCCCCGGCCCGATGTTGGGGGGGAGGCCCGCAACCGGAGAGGGACTCTGGCAGTTCGGATGCGCATCGTGCGAGGACGGCGTTTCAGTTAGCGGCGAGCCGCTGTCGAGATAAGGTGGTTTTTATCGTCGGTTTTGGTTTTAACGTATCCGATCGTACCCGATTTTCTCGCTCGCTTTTTCGCGCCCCGGCAATACGCGGTCTGCCGATCGTCTCCGGATCGAGGTGAGACGCGTTTTCAGAAAATTGCAAATCGATAGATTAAGTTCGCGCGGCTCCGCCGAAGTGAGAACACTTTCGAAGCGGTGAGCCAAACGGTTTCTCGGACCGCAGTCCAGTTCAGTGCGAGCAGTGTATTAAATCTCGTGGTAATAAACATATATATATATTCATATATATATATATAAATTTATTTCGTCGCGACTACATGTGTTTCTTGGCAAGTGCCGAATATAATGTGAACCGCTGAGTGAGTGGGATACAGATAGACGGACTGCAGAAATTAAACGGCGCGACCGGTGTCAAAATGAAGCGGAGCGGTGCTTAGGACCGATCGCGTCTCTCGTGCCCTCTTCTCGCAGAGGGGAAAGTATAAAGGTAAAAGGAGAGGTGAATAACTTGGTGGCGATCGACACTTGCGACCGAGCGATCTCGACGTCTAGCGCGCACCTACAACGGAGCACAGCGGCCGAAGAACGACACGGCGTTCACCACGGTGCAGCATGACGGAGGAACTGAGCTCACACCGATCCTGCCGGTCCTGGATCGTCCTGGCGGCGATCCTGTCCGGCCAACTGCTGCTCGCGCAGCAGGCGCGCGGCGAGATCTACGCCAAGATGTTCTCCAGCCAGCAGAACCCGAGCGATCCGTGCTACGACGAGGACCGGCCGCGGCGTTGCATACCCGATTTCGTGAACGCGGCGTTCGGCACGGCCGTCGAGGCGTCGTCCACGTGCGGCACCGGTGGGCCCACTCGCTACTGCGACGTTACCGACGAGCCCGGCGGCACCACCGGCATCGGGCACTGTCACGTGTGCGACGACAGCACGCCCCGACGACGATTCCCCGCCAGTTACCTGACCGATCTCAACAATCCGAACAACATCACCTGCTGGCGCAGCGAGCCGCTCGTCAGCTCGCAGAGCTTCTCGGCGCCGCCCGACAACGTCACCCTCACACTCTCGCTCGGCAAGAAGTACGAATTGACGTATGTTAGTCTGCAGTTCTGTCCGCGCGCCGCCAAGCCGGACTCCATCGCGATCTACAAATCTATGGACTACGGCAAGACCTGGCAGCCATTCCAGTTTTACTCGTCGCAGTGCCGCCGCGTGTACGGCAGGCCGAATCGCGCGACCATCACCAAAGCGAACGAGCAGGAGGCCCGTTGCACCGACAGCCATCGCTACACCGGCGGGGACGGCTTCGGCCCGGTGGGCAGGATCGCCTTCAGCACCATGGAGGGTCGGCCGTCCGCCGGCGACTTCGACAACTCGCCGGTGCTGCAGGATTGGGTCACCGCCACCGACATCCGCGTTGTGTTCAACCGACTGCACATGCCGCAGCAGCCGCCGACCTCGGAACAAATATCCCACAATGGCGGCGAGGATCATCACGTGGCGGCGATCGGTCTCGAGGAGCTGACGAAACGCGAGCGCGAGCGCGAGGAGCGGCTCAAGAGTCAGAAGAACGCGATCTTGCACGCGCAGGATCCGCTGGTCACCGCGCTGCCGTCGGTCCACCAAGTTATCGCGCCCCAGGAGATGCAGTCGAACGACGCGATCGACGCCGCGGTGAGGGATATGGGCTTCGTACCGGTCACCGTCTCCACGACCACGACCACGCTGCCGAGCGGCGCGGTGATGGTGGCGGCCGGCGGACCGGCCACCGCCACCATGGCGCATCACTACGCGGTCTCGGACTTCGCCGTGGGCGGCAGGTGCAAGTGCAACGGCCACGCGGCGCGATGCATCCCCGGCAAGGACGGCGAAATCGTTTGCGAGTGCAGGCACAACACCGCCGGCAGGGACTGCGAGCGCTGCCGACCCTTCCACTTCGACCGGCCGTGGGCCAGGGCTACCGCCAGAGACGCCAACGAGTGCAAAGGTTAGTGGAAATGCAATTTCCATGCTCGCGCGATCATAATAATAATTAGCTTGATCGGCTTGTGCACGCCGAACGCGCATACAAATGCAGGTCACAATGACGAAATAATCAGAGAGCTATAATTGAAGTCGGAGGATAATTTTGGAATAATCAAAAAGTACGCGAATTCGAACCACGTTTGCGTAATTACGAATCGCGCGATAATTTATGCAGTCTTTAATACGTAATTTGGAAAAGATATTTTTAGAAAAAAAATTAAAAAATCTTGCATTATATGCAGCGTTTTCTAATTTTTTATAACAATCAACTCGCCAATTCAACTTATACTAATTAAATTTCGACAAGACAAAAGTCATGCATAAATCACTTTGCTTAAGTACATCGGTTGATTCCTCAACGCGTAATAGACCTCAATTGGAGTTAGACGCGCTCGAATACCGACGATTATTCAAACTGCAGGACGTATAACTGCAATTTGATTCCGAGACGGCGTGTGGGCTTTAGGCGCGCAGCAAGATGTGTTTTCGAGGAGTTTGAATTGAGTTATATGGATTTCGGTAGTGGCGTGTATTACAACCGGAGCGAAAAGGAGAAGCCAGACAAAGTTATGTATTACAATATATATATACGTAAACCTCACAATGAATACTGCGAGATTTTGACGATCGATAAGTACATAGACAACTCTCTTGTTATGCAGTTCCGCGGATCAGTTAGTTGTAGCGTTGTTACAGAAATTAAGGCACTCACAAAGTACTATGCGCGTCCTAATTAATATGATATATTCAAGAGTGTGCAATCGTTTATGAACTATGTTACACTTGAATCTTTCGGCAAAATTTTACAATTGCTCGTAAAAATTTCACGCTTTCAATTCAATTTCCAATTTTATCACAAATGGCAAGTTTTGGAAAAATATTATTATAGTATTCAAGGTACGATAATTGAATGAGTTGTGCAAAAAGACATGCAATTTTACGTTAATCATATTTATACACACCCAAATATGAAAAAAAAAAATAGATATGCAGATGCATATTTATATTTAAAATACAAATTCTAATAAATAACATCACAATAGTTGATATGAAATATATTACTGTATGTTTCTCCACCCTCTTTTTTTATAAAAACGATTTGGCGCATTCATTTCAATATCAAGGATATTTCGATATTCCGAAATACAGAGCTGGATCGAGTCGACGACACTGGGGTGCCGCCCCAATAGGGAATCACCATATGCGTTGTTTTGTAGTAGGTTAAATATCTGTATACTGTGTTTACGAATGCAAAATTAAATGAACGATAGAAGTGCAGTCACCTTTGAAAGCTGGCTAATCCTTTGTAACTTCCGGGACACATATTACTTTTGACCGTAGCGGAGTGGGAAGAGAGATTGCGCAACGCGCATATTAAACTGTTATCTGTCACCTCGCGATTGTCGTGTCGTTTAACGGTGACTAATTTTTTTAGCGATCTTGCTCTATTCTCATCGGGTTTTGTTCGTCATCGCTTTTCCGCAATTCTGTTCTTCTGAAAAGCAATTTCTGCGATATCCCGATATTGCGTTTCTAATTTTACGAGCTCGCGCGGCATAATTAAAATTCTTTAACGCACAGGCGATAACCTCTTCTTTATAAGATAGTGAACGTGTAAGTTTTACTTTACTTATACGCAGGATATTAATTCCAAAGTTTTTCTTCCATAAACTTCTAATAGATACTTCGTAGCCTGCAATATTCTTGGCTATCTTGCCGATGCATAAAAAGTACGAAGATATTGTCACTCTTTCTTCTGCAAATTCTTCGATAAAATAACATCTCGGATATTATTTTTCACTATTTTTGACTCAACATTAAATATGTTGCAAATAAAATCTACACAAATGTTATTAACAAACAGAATACAACAAATTTGTGAAATAAAGTATACGAAACTTTGTAATTTTATCATTTGCATCGAATTTTGATAAATTTTGCTCTGTGAATTTTCTTCTCGGAACTCACATTCTGATTCTAGTTAACGTAAATACACTGATCCGCGTTTCTTTTTTTGCTCACTGCACAAACGGTATTCTTTTCGATTCGTCACGGATTTCAGGACTACGACAATAATCTCTATGAGACTCTCCAGAAACGTCGGGCGTATCCAAACGCTCGTTATTCAACGGGGCCATATTTATTGAATCTGGGATCGGGGATCGTGGGGTGCGTATCCGGCGCGTATAGGCCTCTCGAGGAGTAAAAAATAAACACCAAGAAGAACCCCAGATTCGCTCGATTCCGCGTCCCTTCTTGTCTATTCGTCCCCTCGCTCGCTTTCCCCGCCCCACTTCCTCCGCACTGTCTCTCTTCGAGGGACGATCCCGGGGTTGGGCCGTACTTTCGGGGCTCACCCCTTAATTCGAAGCGGCGAAGCGTTGCCCCGCGGAGACTGGTATCGCGGAGACCGCGTAGCCGAAATCAAAAATGTCGGAGGGTGAAACCACCCTCGAAAATCGTTTCGAATCGATAAGGGACGCCACCAGTGTTCGCGCGCTCTACACGCGCCTCGCACCCACGCGGTCTGGATTCTCGCGGGGGCCGCCGCGACGAAAAATGTAATCGGATTTAATTGGATCGGCGATTGCGGAAAGACACCCCTGTTTATCTTCGAGTGAGACGGAGCCGGCATTCGCGAGCCGGAGAACGTGCGATAAATGGAAGGTGCCGGGAGCCGCGGTTTTCACTCCTATCAGCGAGCTTCGCATTTGTTTGTATCAAAGCCGAATTTTAATTCGTATTTTCTGTGGAGATTTTAACAAAATTCTTTGGATAGTTACGTTGCGAGATATGTTGGCTCGCTGAACGTATTGTTAATCCTGCTCTGATCCTGCTAGAATGATACAGTATTTACAAATATTTTGCAACAGTTTTTCATTTCTGAATTTATTCTATAAATTTCAAAGAGGTAATAAACGTTAAATAAACAAATATTTTCACGCATAAAAGAATAACTTTTAATCTATGTTTTCTTTCGAAAAACATAATTAAATCATTGAACTATATCTTGAAACATTTTCTTTTCTTTGAATGTCGTCGAAATTCACGGTGAAAAAACAATCGCTGTTGTTGCAACGTCAAAACATTTCAAGTTTGAAACCTGCTTTCTAACGACAAGCAAGCGGAGAAAATCACAGCGTTGATTAAACGTAGACGCCAGCACGAAATATCTGATCCGATTGCGTACACAACAGCGCGCTATTCGAATTAATTAAATAATTGACTCGCGCCGAACCGTAACTAACGTTCTCTGCACAGTAACACAATGCTCCATGCAAACAGGAATCGCGCGCGAAGCGCGGCGGAATGGGAGGAGGGTGGAGGAGGATTATCGATTTAATGATACTCCGATTAGAAAACACGTCGGGGTAATTAATCACGACCGGTGTCGCGCGTTGAATGAGAAACGCGAAATTGCCCCGTAAACAATAATGCCGCGGTCGTGCGAAAAATGAAATGCCATTTACGAACGATCGATCGAATCAATAAGTCGACGGTGCTCGACGTCGAACGGTGCCGCGATGCGATCCGACGCGATCGGTCATCCGTAAGCAGATTGTCCACCGCGCGTCCACGCCGTGCCGCGATTGTCGCGTGAATCGTTTCTCCTTCATCGTGCACTCACCCTTCTTCGCTCCACTTCGATATTGCGCTTTCACGCGTGTAGATAACCGCCGGCTGATTTTCTCGTTCCGAGAGAAGGATATCCACGTGGAGGAACGTTTTGTAATTCGGTTAAATTAAATGAGAGATTATTTCTCAGCGGTATGTTTGCGAAGAAAGCGCCATTAAGCGCGGAATATTTACGACCGTGTCGCATCAATATTATCTGTGTTTTGCGAATCGAGAAACTCGGTCGCGCGTCTGATTAATTAATCGATGCTAAATAGAAGTTGAATTAATGTTCCGAGCATTGTTTGTATGAAGATCTATAACATTCATATTCACATATTAAATTCAATTTGCGCAATTTACAAGCAAATACGATCTTTATTATTGCATAACGTTACACAACGGGTCAGTTATCTTTGATTGGATCGATCAATATCGCAAGGCAAATAAATTAACATATCGATGTTTATAAGTCAAATTCATGTTTTGCTACGAATTGTATTTGTTAAAAATTGTTTAGAAAGTCAAACAAGTGTTATTTATTTATCACTGTTCAGGCTATAGTATAATTCGTGAAGAGATATTTTTTATCAAATAATCAAAATAATAGAACCACCAAACTTATTTAGCGTTTATGATTTTGATTTATTGTATCCGGGCTAGAAATATTTGCATCTCCCCTGCAAAATACGCGGCGTCTGCCTGGACTATCGCGCGCGAAATGCTTCCCCTTCGTATCGTAATCGATGTATACGAGTATCGCATACGCGCGTGTGCATGCGTGCGGAACGTCAACTGCGCGATAAAGAAAAAAGCTTTGCGCGGCGCATTACGTTCGAAGAAATGTCGCCATTAATTACCGCGGTTAATTAATTTCAGACACGAGAGAAATTGCGCGCAATCGAGCGCCAAATCGGGCTCGAGATCATCGTCCCCTTCGCGCCTCTTTCTCTCTCGCTCTCTTTCTCGCTTTCATTTGCCGCGGGTCAGTTATCTTTGATTGACTCGTTTCGAAAATGTTTCGTTTGTATCGGAAAAAAAACATCTCTACCTATTAATTAATACGTGCCGCGAGCCAGGCAATTTCTCTCCGAGTAAAATTGCGTAAAGTGTCACATACTTGGTGAACAGTTAGTTTTTTGTATTTTTCGACCAATTAATCCGATAAACCGCTTTTCCAATTTACGATTTATGCAAAGTGACTGTACCTTTGTTTTTGTAGAATTTAATTAAAACAACAGAATAACAATTTTGGAACGTCCAAGATTAAAAAAATAAATGCTTACAATTTATACTCTTGATGTATTTTTTACATTTTTAAAAGAAAATAATTGTTCAGATATCTCT